AACCGAAAAAAAACTTTAAAAAAAAAAAAAAAAAAAAAAAAAATCAGTACTAAAAAGTTGTCCCCATCTCACCGTTGGAATACACTGTGAACTGGCCAAAGACTGATAGTTGAAGTATGTTTTATTTTTCCCCTTCTTGGCTTTAGAGTTTTGACTTTAAAACAGTAGGATCATTCCACAATCCACAGCTTACACACTCCATCACAACAGGCTTCCGACTCCAGTCAATAGCCAGTTACACCAGCAGATCCCTTCCCTAGATTCCTGGTGGTTCCTCAGTACTGAAAAGCTTGATTTATCATGATAAATACGAACAATTAATGACAGCATTTTTTAAAAAGTGCCTGAATGACCAAATTAGAGAGAAGAAAGATGCTCTTTATAAAGCTCCCCTTCAGAATGCAAAGAAAATTCCAATGAACTAAAACACAGTAAGGGCACTCCTCTACTCTGACAAAGAATGGATCAAGAATGAAATGTAAATGTTCCTTGAACAAGGTTCTGGTCACTGGCCGTTTAAGTATGTCCTGGAAAAGCCCTGAAATATCCAGTGAAGATCTGGGAAATCATCAATCCTCCCTTCGTCAAAAAAAATCATGGGGCACTTAGATGACCTTGCCCACTCATTAATCAGAATTAAGCCACGAACAGCTGAGCTGTGAGAGAAAGGAGGCCCATTCCAGGCTGTGAATATTTCATAACATCAGTGTGTACCACAGAATGCACTCACCAGAAAGCACACAAGAAGTTAATCTGGAACATCATTTCTTTCTTGGTGCTACAAGGTCCCTCCCTGCTTTGCTCTTCAGTGAGTCTGTTGACCAGACATGGAATCTAACATAAGCCCAGTAAGTATCTTATATATCAACTTTGAGGAGTTGGGCACAAAACAAGCCTAAGCTTTTACCACCTCATTAGGCTGCTTTATTTGAGATCTTCGTTTCAATGTGCTAACTATGCTGATGAACTTTTGAAAAAATATGTTGCAGCATAAGCTCAGCCTGTCCCAAATTTCAGAATTGTTATCCCAATTTGTAACAAGCCCCCTCCTGCCATCTCTGACACATGGCTGTAGTGTTTATGTCTCACAACACACAGACGTGACAGCCAGTTTTCCGTATCTTGGACTAACTTCTGTTATTAAGGGCCCAGGTTCCCTATTTACAGTGTGCATGCCCTTCTCCAGAGGTTACTCCCAGGTCTTGCTTCCCAAACCCATGTGAAGACACAGCTTTCCCCAGTTATCTCATTTCCAAATTTGCAGCCAGCTAGTTGATCTCTCCAGGCCACAACCAAAAAATGATTCCCAGTCCTGAAGAATCTGGTCTTCTAGCAAACAGTTTTTAAGTATTAAAAACATAGCTTTTCTTTTTTTTTATACAAGTAATATGACTTTTAAAGCACGTGAACTACCAAGAGCAAATGTTTAAGAATCAACAGAAAGAAGAAAGAAAGAAAGAAACAGAAAGAAGTAAGAAAACACTACTAATAAAAAGTGCTCATCTTTAACACTAAGTAAAACTCTAGGACTTAAGAGTATCTCCATTCAATTTGATTAATTTGATTTCTCATGCTAGTTTATCACAGCAGTATTAAGTAAAACTACTTTAGCCCATTAAGTCAACAGGGTTAGCAGTGCTGCCAGGGAAGGCAAGCGTGCTGTCTGCAAGTGCCCACTCTTCTTCTGACCTTATTTTCAGTGGAGAACTGCTTTATACAACAGGATTGTGTACCGCTCCGCACTCAATGATTTCCTTAGTGCTTAACATCATTTTACTTGTCCTCACTACTTGCACTCTTCTCAGCCCGCACAACTAAGTGATGTGTGCATGCTTTAAAGACATGCGTGATTCCACGCTACCATATGCAATCAAAATATGATACCGTGCCACCTTCCCCTTTGATTCTCCACCTATTTTTCTGTATGGCTAAATCTATTGAGGCTCCATTTGATGTAGTTCCTAATGGGCTGGCACGGCAATATCTACTCTGTCATCAGAATAAAAAATTGTGTATAGCCCTAGTAACAGCATTTAGCTGCAGCAGAAACCCAAAGGTATCTTTACATTTAGGATGGGTGTCAGATTAAATGGAAAAAATCCACAGAACCAACTTGTCCTTGTCTGAACACCAATACCACCTCCCTATGTGTCAGGAGGGAGGTAATACCCCTTTTCCCCTGCTCTTCCAGTACATTCAAATACAGTATTTTTTGGAGACATTTTAATTGAGAACCATCCCCATAAATGCTTAGAGGAACGTTTACTCTGTTTTTATAAAAAACATATTCTAGAGCTTCCCAGCAGCAGGGATTCCAGAAGTCTTCCACTAACCAGATCTGAGATGCGCTGCTGACAGGAGAATTAATTAGTGGTATGTTGACTGTATTTGCTGTATTATATTAAACTCAGGTTTAGGGGCATCTTCTAATTCCGCCCACCCATACATACACCTCTCCAACACACCACTTCCAATAGATCTTTCCCACCTCCTCCTCCCATCTCAGCAGAAATGAACCACTGTCGAGACACCGTACTCTAAATGGCAACTACAGAAACTCTCACACGTTTAGTTACTGTGCTTTCCTGACATACTGCATGTTAAACTCCTCTTTAGATCTAGGATCAGAAAGTTTCTCTCGTAGCCAATATTGATAAGGATTATTTAGGGTTTTGCCTCCCTGCAACACACATCACTTTACCTTACAATTTTCTTATTCCTGAGGAGAGCTCAGACTGCGGAAACATTCTCGATCTCTCATTTTCTTCCTTTGGCACATTATAGTTCTTGTGGCTTTGGCTGTCATACTGAAAGTGAGATTTGTATAGCGCGTTGAGGAATATTGTGAAGGACTAAGCTACAGCTGACTAGCTTGGATACATAGCTGTTCATACAGCTGAAGATTCAGGCATTCTTAAACCCATGCCAAACAAACTCAGAGAGCATTAAACTTGCATTACTCTCCGTTCCTGTGTCATGGTAAATGCAGCTTAGTTTTTGGACAGATTAGCAGGTACTTTTTCTTCCCCATTACTGTGCAGAGCATGACACAGCCAGACTTACCGCAGTAAGTGTTACACTTTGGCAAATTTAACAGGTTATGGCTCCCCATAAAAAAAAGCAGAAGTCCCATTGCCGTGCTATTTAAAAAGGGTAATTGTCAAGATAACAGAGAAATCTCAGGAAAGAAACCTACTGGGTGATGGTAAGTGCTCAGCAAATAACCTAGACTGAGCAAGAGAAAGGGCTGTTGAAAACTGAAAGGTGGGATTCTCAGAAACGACTTACATGCTTTAGGAAAAGAAATCCCCTGAAAACTATCAGCTTTAGAAAATCCCACCGAAGAGAGAGACGTTTGAAAAGACTGACAGACTGGACTATGAAGCAGAACAGAGCTGTGAGTCAAAAATGAATTTTATAATATATTGCAAAACTTCATCCCCCTAAGCCCAACTGGAAAAAACAATCCACCTATTTGTTATTTTCAGAAGATACCATTCCCCAGTTCATCCCCAAAGAGGGAAATCATTTAAAGCAGTTATCTGGCAGAGACACAAAGGTTGTCAGTCTTGGCCCTTCATGGAAATGGAGGCAACTCAGCAGTGCAGGTGCAAAGAATATAACTAGATGTTGGTCAGGAAAGAAGCTACAAACAGAAGCTGAAAAGCAGCAGTCTCCAGATAAACGATCCCACAGACGCAGTCCAGGAGAAGACAGTAAATAGGGAATTCTAAAAGCCTGCCTCAGGAGGCTAAGATTTGGATGTAAAGACCACTGGGAACCACATCATGCTCATTTTACATACTTACCTTTCACAGGACCAGCATTAAGAGGCCCAGAACTATTCAGAAGGTGTGTCCCATAACTGAGAAAAAAAATAGGTGCCTGACCCCAGTGATAAGGAAGCACGGTTGTTTCTTAACCTTGCATTTATAGGATGTTACTTAACGTTTTTCCAGTAAATATGCTGAACCAAAAGAGGAAATTTTGCATTTTACTCTGATTATGAAAGAGATTTACCATCATTACACAACCAGGAATACTTCAAGTTAAACATGAGTCAAGCTGACAGCCATTTTGTTAGATGTAAACAACTGCTACGATCTCCCTGAAGATTTCATAGTACAAAAGAATATATGCTGGTACCTGACCAGTTACCCCCAATGGCAAACTTTTGCTTACCATTATGTAAGTTCAGAAAGCAATTGTACTGCTGTCCTTAGCGATAACAGGTGCCGTATTCTGATACTGCTTCTTCATGCAATGTGTTTTCTGCACGGTCTTAAAATGAAAGCCAGCTTTGCACAAACAGTATGAAAGGGTAATGTTCAAAAAATATTTAAACCTTTTGTAGTGAGCCGCCTACAAAGTCATAAACCAGAAGAGACACCGAACTGGCAGTCTATTCATAGAGGTAGAGCTACTCCAGTTCAGAACCTGTGTCCTGCCTGAGTTGTCAGTGCTGTCTGACAACAAATTCAGAATCCGCTTTGTAAAAACAACTGAATGACTGGTAAGACAAAGAAGTAATTTTGTTTCCAATAAATAAACGTTGTCAAACACGCTAAGAAAGTATCTCATCCTGCCCTGGAACTTTCTGTAACAAAGCCAGAAGAGTTAACCTTCTGAAAGCATTTCAAGTTGATGTTTAAGAAAATAAAGCAAAGTAAATCCCTAAGGTGAAGGACTGTGAATCAGATGACTGTACACCTTAATGCTAGTTCTGCAGGAGCGTCAGTGAGCCACCTAAAGCTTAGAAAAGAATGTGACAGCAGTGGAGTTTGGTGCCGAGTGAATTCTACTCAGTGGCAAGATCCCAGTTTGGTCCTCAGACTCCCTACGCAAACTAGCATTTAACCAAAAATGTGATACTAAATGCAATGTTCATCCCACGTGTTGACTCACGCTAAGCAAGACTAAAAAAAAGCAGATGACAGGATTGCGTCCCGTGTCTTGCCACACTCTAGCAATTAGCCAATGCAACAAGAAATCTCTCTTCACTCAGTCCTAACCTTGAAATTGAGTGCTGAAGCCCCTGCTTTTAGTACCCAAAAAACAATGAGTCTTTCTTTGAAAAGAAAATTAACAGTGCAGTGATTAAAAAAAAAAAAAAAAATCTTTGCCCATATGTGAATAGATCTATCTGTGCTCCTCATATCGTATCCAAATCTCCCCCTTTAAGAGAGGGTATTAGCACAAAGCTATATGCTATAGGGGAATATTTTTATTCTCCTTTGTTGAAACTACTTACTTTTTAACTGAGATCAACAAATTAACTTGACCAAACCAGAAATGGGCAGGAAGAAAGCCAATATTGATCATGACTATAGCTTAGCTTTTAGGGCACTCTCTTGGGAAAGAAAATGCGGATTATGACTCATACCTTAGTGAATATTTTATATTACTATTTTGACCACAAAGAAAAACCTCAAGTTTTCATTTTTTCAAGTTACTGAACTGATCAACAGGTACAAGAAAAATGTTCATGCTTCTCTTCCCTTATCTCCAGGACTGCACTGAGCCAGGCAGGAATCTAATTGAACTTGCTTTTCTTTTTTTTTGAAGGCTTTATAAAACTTACCTAATGTCATCATCCGTGACTATGAAAGCTTTGCAGAGGGGCTGAGATGTATTAAGCCAGACGGCTGGGTTCTTCTCAACAGCTGCAGAGAGCTGCCCCGTGATAGGTGCGGAACTGGTGTGCAAAGCACTAGCAACAGCTGATAACAGGGTATCGTCATTGTTACCCGGGCCAACTCCTGAAACAGAGAGAACTCAACAGTTACCATTTGCATTTCATATGCAGCTTCCATCAGCAGAGCTCTTCTCAGTTTGTAAGGCTATGTACACTCATGATACAACTGCCACTGGATACGTGGTTGTGTCAGCTCAACAGTTAAATGCAAGTTCTTAAAAATGGCTTTGTAATAGCACAGTTCTCATTTAAGTGTAAGTTAGTATTTCAAAAGGCATCTCATTTCTAAAACTGGCTAGGTTTTTTGCTTACACTAGCAATTACAATATCATCAATTTCTTAATGAAGATGATCACAGCATGAATTTACCAGTCACATATTGAAATGGTTTCTTTGCAGCTTCGCAGTATTAATCCATACCAGCACGGTCTTTGCTTTAATGCTACAAAGTATTAAATTAATTCTGGAAAATAAACACTGGAGATTTTTACAACACTCAAATTCCCAAGAAAATCTCCCAAGCTGTGAAAAAAAGTTATTTATTTTGAACTATGACTTCAACATATTTTAGATCAACTTTCACCAATAAGAGTGCAGTTCTGAAGTGTGGTTTATATTAACTACATAAATGAACTAAAACACAGTTTCGAGATTGAGGAATTTTGTCAGCAAGAACATTTACAATTTGAAGTTTACTTAATCTGACTGTAAACTGAAAACTTAAGAGCATCAAAACCCCTGCCCTTTGTAAGCACAAGCAAACTTGGATCTGAAGCAACTGCAGTAAGCGAGCACAATACCTTGAAGACCTTTAGGTAGCTCCATGGATTTTATGATTTGTTCACTGACATCCGATGCGCTGAGGCCTTGTAGCCTCTTCTCCCAGAAAAGCTGAAAAAGAGAAAACAAGATTGCTCATTAGAAACAATTTAAAAAAAACCCCAACCTAAATCAGCTCATGGAAATAAACAGCATTCCTGATCACAACAGCATCAGAACCATGAAAGACAGACAGTGCCTAGCAGCTTACAAAACAACCTAAGAGGCCCATAAGCTACCAAAAAGGTAATTTCCTATCTGCTGATGGAGCTTTAGTCATCGGGAACACGCTCCTATGGAATTACACAGTGTGTGTGGAGACACTGGAGACAGCTCTGCACGTGGGAGCAGGACAGCTCCACCAACACCAGTGCTAACCAGCAGCTACGCCACGTTAGACCCATGCTGGCTTCATCACCCGGCCCTTTCCGACGCTGTATAGATCTCTTGACTTATCTGGAGATTGAATCAAATCTTTCCCCTTTTAGGAAGATACATGAGCTAAATTCACATTCATTTTACTTTCTATTCCCTGGTTTATTAGCTGGGAACATGTTTCCATTTCTCACAGAAACCCGTTTCTTGACCTACGAGATTTTGCTTAACGGCACAGATTTCCCTACTCACTCCAATCTTACTGGTCTGAAGATTCATCCTGAAGTTTTGGGCTGGAGATTAGCCACACCTATTCTTTAAAATGGGCCTTTTCTATTTAGCAAGGTAGTGATGAAAGCTAGTTAAAAAGCTGATTTCTATTCCACGGGAAGCTACATTTAATCAATAATCTTAATAAGGAGGTAAGCAAGAAGGTACCTATGCACTTTCCTGTGAAAAGAGCATTCAGAAATAGCTTGATTTTTCTGCAGGATATGAGGGAGGGGGAAAAAGAAAACCCAACTATTTATTTTCATGCCTCCAAAACCTGAGACAAAAAACTAGACATGCAGTTATTTTCATTCCTTCTCTGTTGCAGCTGGGTACCCAAAGGCCTCAACTGAAGACAGGGCTTTCAAATGTCACATTCTGCTCTAAAACTGGAAGTTAAACGAGAGCATCCTCTTTCATCGTCTGTGGAGCCTATATAACTAGTCACAGGTCATCATAACTGAAGCAGAAACAATGAGAGCATCCTCTTTCATTGTCTGTGGAGCCTATATTGCTAGTCACAGGTCATCATAACTGAAGCATTGTACATCTGAGATTCTAATTCAGAAAAAAAATATTTTTTTTCAGTTACAGAGGTAGTAATGGCAAAGAGAAAAGAAACAAAGAACATCTACCTTAGCATTAAGGGTATACTACTGCCTGAAAATAAAACACGCAGTTACACTAAGAAAAACGCAATATTCTCCACAACATGTCCGTGCAGCTTTATAAATCAGTAGGTTGAATGACACTTGTGTTACCTGAGAGATCACTATGCCATTTTATTGAGATCTACTTATTTAAGCACTCTTCGCTGGACCATAGGACACATTTGTAACCGAGTTTAGATCTAAGTGGCTTAGAAAACCCACACAGGATCACCTAAGCAAGCTCTTCAGGTTTTTTTGTAAACTCTGACTACATTTCACACATTCTTGACATCTCTGATTTGACAGCCTTTTGAAAATACCTGTTGCCACTTGTGTCTCATTTTACTACAGCCACTTAAACTTCAAATACTTCCTGTAAACCCACTCCTCGCTCTTAACTAGTATTCCTTTTCAACATCCCAAACCAGGTTTGAGCTACATTGTTAGCTGAATATAAAGACACCTCTTTTATCTTGTTAAATGTTAAATATTTAGTACCTCCAGTCATTCACTCCTGCTGCTTACCACTATTGCTAAGCCCCCACCCCAAGAAAGCACTCTAGGTGTCTTGCGGGAGTCCTTATGGCTCTGTGGATGAAGTGACAGTGCCTGAAAGCTGTCTAGAACCCTAAAGAAATCCTTTGTTACAAAGGCAAAACCAGCAACTCACTAGGCAAATTCTAAAAGGAATATTAAAATTCAAATAAATGAAGTCAAAGTAAAATCCTATCAAGTCAGTATTTCATCACGGGGTCAGCTTCCCATCTTGATGAAGTCTCTACAAAGCTCATTCATGTTTTCCACTGTTAAAGAATTCACCCTTCATTCCCCTTTCCCTCTCCATTTCATTGACTGTTAGAGATAACCAAAAGACCCACCAACTCCCAAAATCTAAACTATAGTTTTATATGCTACAGCTAAACACAAGAACCGCCTCCGTTTATTCAGGATAAAATTAATTGGTGTGCAGCAGCAACTACACCACCAAATACAATCAAATATTACTGGGGTTTGATTCGTCAGTTCCCTACTCAAATCAACCCAGTACACATCACAGAGAGAATGAGGAATCAGGAGAATGGTTTGGTTATAGAGGGTGTGTAGGGATGCAAATGCCTTTGTGGGAGACAGAGGTGCTTGAAGAAGGACAACAAACACATATGAAAGCTCAGAAGGTTTGGAAAACGTAGTGCAATATTGACTGGGTGGAGCTTCCAACACCAGTACTCGCTCAGCTCTTTCAGCACGGGTTGCGAATGCAGGGAAAAGTCCATACAGCTATCAACACCTCAGACGACCCTGAGGTCAATGTAAGGTAGAAAAAAGCACTTGGCCCCTAGACACACCTGTTAAAACAAAGCTGAAGTAAAGCATGTTCCTAGCACAAAGCTTCCAGCACCAGCTTGCTGCGTCGTTATGTATCATTATTTCCAAACAACAACTGTACTCCAAATTTTCATCTCCCCAGATCACCACTGGGACTGCACAAGTCTTTCTTCCTAATATTTTGCTCAGAAATGAATCACATTCCTAGAATTTTATGATGAAATTTGTTCCCCACCCCTTTAGGGGTTCTTACGAGTCCCCTCTCAACCCCTGTATCTTCTCCTGGATCTTACTGAAGATTGACAGGCTAGGAGATTTGGGGGGGTTCAGCCTGGAGAAGAGAAGGCTCCGGGGAGACCTGAGAGCCCCTTCCAGTGCCTAAAGGGGCTCCAGGAAAGCTGGGGAGGACTTTTTTACAAGGGCATGGAGTGATAGGACAAGGGGGAACGGCTTCAAACTGGAAGAAGGGAGATTTAGATGAGATATTAGGAAGAATTTTTTCCCTGTGAGGGTGGTGAGCCCCTGGGGCAGGTTGCCCCGAGAAGCTGTGGCTGCCCCATCCCTGGAGGTGTTGAAGGCCAGGTTGGACGGGGCTTGGAGCAACCTGGGCTGGTGGGAGGTGTCCCTGCCCAGGGCAGGGGGTTTGGAACTAGATGATCTTCAAGGTGCCTTCCAACCCAAACCATTCTATGATTCTGAGCTGGACCAGACCTGGACAAGTATTTCCTTATCAGCTGCACCAGGAATAGCTATTTTGGGACAGAGAGAAGCTGCTAATACAAATTCAGAAAAAGCTTTTCTGTCACTCCAGTTACATGATGAAGATGCAACCATTCCACAGCAACCCAAGTATGCATTCTAGTAATTGAAAAAGATCATGCAAGTCTTGATGTGCAGAATACCTGCCTTTGAGGTTACAGCCCTAAAAATAGCTTACATTATTTAACTTGCAACTGCCTCATCATTAGTGAGACAGGGAACAGAAAAAGAGAAAATAAAAATTCAGGTTCACAGGCTTTGTGCCCCACAGGCACCAAAATTAGGAGCAATTCATAAATTCATAAAAATTCCATCTCCAAGTTAGGCATCAGCACCCACAGGTAGACAACAGCCTAGACAGACTGCCCCTGTGGCATTCGTCCCCTGCCCAAAGCCATCAGGACTCCATAAAAGAAGCGACAGCCCCTCACGCAGAGCAAGTGTCTGCAGATAGAGCCGCTCCAATTCCACAAATGACTGCCAGCGACTAGAGGCCACCGTCTGCATAATACCCTGACATCCATCGCCTCACAATTCGGGGTTTCCTTGGAAAATGGAGTGAGGTCTCCAGACTCTAGGCTTTTCTCAGCTTGAGTTCCCTGGAGAGTACCATGAAGCGCAGGACAGGCTGATAGGGTCCAATCTTCCTTCCTCCTGCTGAGAATGCACTGGTACGGCCAGAAAAGCGAGATTCATGCCTCCGGGAAAGAAGCATTAGCAAACATGAGACCCTGTTATTCAGTAATGAGAATCCTGATGGCACCAGAGTAGGAAGGAACGAGAGAAGAACCGGATTTCAAGATTCATCCTTGCTATGATGTGGTATTTCATTACTAATGCAAAATGAATAACCATTCTGACAATTCATCAACCAGTTACGGGTATTCTTCCTGTGGGAGGATGAAAAATGGCTCTATTTCAGTTTTGTTTGAAGTACTGGTTAGGGAACACACGCTGAAAAGAGCCTAAAACCCAGGTCCTCCATTTACCGATGTTTGAGCACTCTAGATTCAGAAAGACCCAGCAGCCAAGTGCTCCATTAATTTTAGGAAATTAATCAATACGCATTATGCCAGAAGTGACCTCTTACGCAATAAGCTCCTGCAGAGCAAGAAACGTATCCCGTATCGCTCCGACTTACTATCCTAAGGGCAGCGCCAGAAGCGACCTCTTACGCAATAACCTCCTGCCGAGCTCCGACTTACTATCCTAAGGGCAGCCCTGCTTTTTCCTGTGGCAGAGGAGGCAGCATCGGAATGCAATGCCAAGGTCCCCAGGGCGGAGCAGAATTGTCACTTCCTCGTTGTTCTGAAACTCCGTAACGGCCGAGCTGTACCACAGCTGTGCTTCTGAAGTCCTTTGTTTGGAGAATTAGAAAATATTGCTTTCTCCATAATTGTTTCTTGTCCAAGAAAAGCTATTTGTGACTAATGGTGAATTATAATCTAATCCATAATCTCTGTAAAAACACAATCTCCTAAGTAACTATTATTTCTCATTCAGACAACAAAGAAATGATAGATTAGCCCCTCTATTGCAAGAGCCACCAAATACAAACATATTATGAGCTGCTCCTTTTCCTTAGATAAATAAAAGTCTATTTGCAGTTGCTCAAGCAATGGACGCCTACAGGAAATTTTTGCTGGAAAGGAATCCATTCCAATTCTGTTATTTTTAAAAGAAAAGCACCTA